TTATATCTTTATGTTTGAAGCCTGAAATGTGGCAAAAGGTTGAAAAGTTCAAGGGGGCCGAATACTTTCGCAAGGCACTGTACATGACTGTGAGGTGAACCCAAGTGCAGGCTGAAGCAGGCAAAAGCAGACAACAGGCTGGAGTAGCAATGCACAAACAGATCATAGAGGATTCCGAGAGCGAAGTCAAAAACAAGGCAGGTCAAAACCAGGAGGGCATTGGAAATGGCACACACAGAATATTCACAGTTGTATCCATTGAAAACAAAACCAGGTTTGTAGGCAGAAAGTGCAGGGGAAATCCAAATAGTAGGATGACAAGCAAAGCCAAAGCTGAAAGTTAACAAAGCAGGAAGAAAACACCAAAAGAAACAAGACTCAATAATGACATCAAGACTCTAGAAAAAAAGCTCTAAGATTAAGCAAGGACGAATGTAAATGGTGGTCTTAAATATCCCTTTGTACATGAGTTAAGTGATAATCAGTTGTGTTCAGCTCAAACCGATCTTATGCCATATTGTGTAGTCATAGCAACCAGTTGATTAACCGGTGTAGTTGAGGTTACACCACAGTTGCTGTGGTACAGTACCTCTAAGGCATCTTCCAGGAATCTGGCATGAGTGGATGTGATACAGTAGGTACATAGAGAAACCAGGGATCGCTTGGCAAAATAGCAGAGTACCTTCTCTCTACTTGAGTGAGTCTCGCATTTGAGTCTAGATGGCTCAGTTTAGGTCCCATGAACTCCTTGGTCATACCATCAGTAGACAAGATTTCTATCTGAAGAAAGTGTGAGACAGAAAACTGACTTTTGCTGTGGCAGGGACACAATTGTTGGTATACAGAGGAGTCTCTGGCCAAGCCAAACAGGATTAACCATTATAGATATTGATGAGTTACTGGTTGTTCATGAAGATTGTGTGCATGCTGAAGACAAAGAGGAAACAGTTGAAAGAGAAAGATCAAAGAATTGGGTGGAACTAAGATTAGTGAAATGAGGATTGTGATTGAGCAACATGGAGTGGATTGGATTGTATACTCCAGCGCCTGATTGCATTAGTTAGCAGGGATTATTCAAGTTAAGAGTTTATAAAGAAGATATAGTCATCGTGTAAGTGAAAAAGATCAGTGTGTAGAATACTGAGTGAAGAACGACCCAAATGAAAGACAGTGCAGACTCAACAAGTAAGAGCTAGCATCCTGGGTGAATCTGAAAAGAATAATGATAGGCCAGTAAAAATGTGAAAAAAACTAAAGTGAGACACTGGCAGAGTGGGAGTTTGGTGGGGACAGTGCCACTGTTATTTATAACAGGGTTCGGCAAACTTTAAAGAGCAAGGGCCACAAAAACAATTTTACTAACCTTGCTGGGCCATCTGAGTGAAATCCGATAAACTCACTGACTAGAATAGGTCGCGTTTCTCTGGGCACATCTCCTCCACGAGCTCTTGCATACACTATTTAATAAACTCACCATCCATGAAGGGTTTGCCAGCTGCTGCTAGAAGCTGTTATACTTGATAACTAGCTTGGGTAGCCGCAACATTTTCTTCAAATTTTCTCATGAACAGTTTTTGCTGCCTCTAAAGCTACTTTTTCAACTGTTCAGTTTTTCCCTCCATCCCTCGCCTGTGTATTCGGAAAACTTATCCTGTTGTTTTGTCAATCCTTTTTATGTTGTATTCTCGATTGTTTCCTGACAGATAAGACACATCACCTTTTCTTTACAAGGGACACAAAAGTACTCTTCTGACCATTTGTCATTAAATTTTCGACCCCCTGCATTGATCTTTTTTTTTCGACAGCACTGTCGCCATCATGAGCCAGATCTGTGAATGTACTGGCAAGAAGGTTGCTCGCCTGGGAATCATCTTCAGCTGACTGATTTTGGCACTCGGTGGTACGTGCTACTGCTACATGGGGAACCTTGAGCCAAGAACTGTACACTCTTTTGGTGTTTTCTGCCTCCTTTTTTGTGTTTTCTAATTGTCTTTTCTGTTGTGTTTCTCGCTGCATTACATTTCTGGATCACTTTCATGTTGCACACTAACGAACACAGCTTAGCTAAATGTAAGCTTGTTTATTGCTCAGTCTTGCAGGGGAACAGGTTGCGTGATCCAATTCTACATATTTTGGAATGAATGCACCAATGACAATTGCAAATCATCCGCACAGTCATGTTTTCCAATAGATCATTGTGTTTGATTTTTAAAATATGCCAGACTAATATTGCTATTGGATAATACACCGCGTTCCCATCCCCTGACATACAGTATGAACTCTCATTCATTTATTTTATGAATGGTCTTTTCTAAAAAAAAAGCTGTCATTTTAATGACGTTAGCAACAGCCCCCTTAGATCTAGGCCAAGGTGCAGCTGCACCCATTGCAACCCCCGTAGTGCTGGTCCTGATAACCATTATACCATATCACCATCACTTCTAATAAAATCATGTACCCTCAAGCCACAAATGATGAATTCCATTATAATAAGTCCAGCTACTTCTACTGACATATTCTAACACATCACATCCATTGTAGCATTGGTGCTACAGAACACAAAAACATCTCTGTATAAAAACCTTTTGGTTGAGAGTCACAATGGAAAAAGAAACCAGAAAGCATCTGTATAAGTATCTTTCCTTCTTTTCAAGACTTGTTAACTTTTCTGAATAAAGTACAATTACCTAAAGTAGGCTGTGTGTATTGTGCACCAATTGTTTTATGCAAAGAATCTGAAACAAGATTCCACACAGCAACAGCCTATGGAAAACTAAAAATGTATGGTTATTTTAAAATTAGTGTGTTGGTTCCACCTTGTGGAGGAGGAAGGAAGTCTCATTTGCAAAATTATTTTTGAGGTAGGAGATAAGAAGATAGTCCCAATTTAATTAAAATAAAATTTAAATTTTTAATTTGTAAATCAAAGTTGATTGTTCCTTTTTTCGCAAAGAATCTATCATCAATATGGTTTAAAGATTATATATATGGGTATCAACAGTTGTCAAAAAACTTCTTTGTGATTTAGAGTCTCAACCTTATTCAAACTACAGTATAAGAGCTGTGCTTTTCAAAGTATGATGCAGATGTACTGCACTGGTTCTTATTAAACGATATCAAGCAATGGGCATTTATAATGTAAACATTTTGAAGAGCATTGTTAAATGATGATAATATACATTATACATTATTATTATTGGCAGCACGGTGACACAGTGATTATTATTGCTGCCTGGCAATATTCTGGGGTTCAATTCTGGCCCTGGGGTGCTGTGTGCAGTTTATTGTCTCATGTTTGTGTTTTTCTTCCGGATGCCCCTTTCCTCTAACAGTCCAAAAACATAATGTCAAATGATAAATGCCCTGTGATGGACTGCCATCCAGTCAAAGCAGTATCCTGCTTTATGTTAGTTGCTTGCTGAGACAGGCTCTGGCTGTGCCGCAACCCTGAATTGGATGAAGCAGTTAGAAAATGTATTGATGGATAATACACCGAGCATTCCTAGCCCATAATCTACTACAGATAATTTGGGTTATTTTTTCTGTGATAATTAACATAGATCTAAACAATATGCAGCATGCAATAGTGATGCTTGCCTAAGAATCATGATAATAAACTCACCACATTCTTTGATGTCTTATATCAAGAACAGTACAATTGCAGATCTTGAAATACATTTACAAATTGAATTGACATACTCTATTGTCAATTCACTACTTTTTTCTGTATTGTGTTCATTTTTCTGTGTGGGTATACGTGTGCACTAATAGTTTGTTTTGAGAATACCGTACCTTATTCGTATGCAATAATCCGCTGTAGTTTAGACCCAAGACCTTGTTAGTACTACAGGGTGATAATACTGCGCAGACGGGAGGAGATCGCCGTTGTCGGGATTTCCTAACTACAATACATACAGTACAGTACGTAGTTTATGGAGTTTATATTATTACAGAACTTCTACGCCTGGAGCGATTTAGTCCAGGATGGTTGTCAAAGCAGAAATACATCATAATAGCATATGCTGAAAATAAAGTGCAAGCACGCAAATTTAAAACTTTAAACCTGAAGTGCAAAATACCAGCCTGTACAACACTCTTCCGTGTCATCGGTGACATGTGAGTTAAGCAATCAAACACGTGTCAGTTTCCTGGCAACAGATTAGACGCTTTAGCTGCCGTGCTGCACGTCCTGCCTTAAACCAGTCAAACATTTTGAAGCAAACAGTCGCTTAGAAAATAAAAACTTTAAATCGGGTATGTTCAAAATCAGGTGTATAACTCAAAATACAGTGCAATGAGCGGAGTGTGTGAAGATGCTACGCCGGTTTTAGACAATTTTCTCCCGGCCTCTGGACATTCCCTCCTGCGAGGGATCAGTCCAAATGAGAGATGGAAAATTCTTCGACAGATCAGCATGCCAGTTGAAAAGGGTCCTGAAAACAGATACGATTTCGCCAGTTTTCAGGAAAGGGACAGTCCTTCTTTTATTAAATTTAACCCTTTCTCAAAGGAAGAAAACTACCCTTTGGCGCCGCTAAGGGATGACGTTCCGATTATAGACCCTTGTTCAGGGCACCTGAGCGCCGGTGCCGAAGCTGACCTGATGATAGACGGGAGAAGTAACTTTATCCAGAATGGCTGTGATCCTACGCGTCCGAACGCCGTGGTCGATATGAGTGAGAGACCCCAAACTCCACCGATTAGACCTTCTGCCCTGACAGCCGATCTGTCCAGCGACAAGAGGTGGAATTCAAGGGCTGTATCTGAGGCTGCTGTAAGGGCAAGACTGGGAGGTAATGTATTCGCACGTCAATACGATAGGGATAATGGCATCAGTAACATAGTTTTTCATATTTTAGATGTATTTTTTACTGTAAGATACAGAAGCATTCATTTAATTAATGTAATGAGGCATTATTTAAAACATTGCTCGAATATTTTAGAAAGTTAAATTACTTTAGTGAATTTGTTGATTGGGAAAGGAGTGATATCCTGACAGTACAACAGGGGTACTCGTGTAACAGTCTTACCATTTTTTTCCTACAAAGATATTTAGTGTAACCAGTTCTCTAATATTACTGAGGAATTTCAGTTAACCAAATAGCTATGTTGTTCAAGAACAAGAAGGCCACCTTTTTAGCTGAATGGAAAACACAAGCACCCTATTGCTGCGACTGTTTGTTTTTAAAGGTTGGACAAGCCCTACAAGAGTAAGACCTGCTTCACCCAAACTACCCAACATACTATCAAACAAGACAGTCTTCTTCAATGTAGATGATGCAACACAGGTACTTCAAGTTTGTAAATCATGATGGACAAGAACCAAGAGCAAGTCAAATGTCATTGATGCAAGAGGCACACTTCCACTGTAATGCTTCAAAAGCTTTCAACATTTGAAAGGAAGTATATACAGTACAGTACTGTACAGTACATACAGTAGATTAACACAAATTTACTGTATGTGAATACAGCCTGCTTGCCTTTGTAAACATACTGTGTTTGAAACAATTAGGTTCTTAAATCATCATAGTAAGCGATGGCCTAGATGATGGTTACCATTTAGCCAAAACAGTAGGCTGAAAAGGTTCAGTATGCTACCAATTACCATAAAACAAAATGCTTATCATATTTATGTGCAGTAAGTGCCCTTAGTTCTTACAAATGAGATTCTATTATTATTAAGTCTTAGTCAAGTGCAACTACTGTTTAGCACAAATTCATTCACAAGTTTAAGAAAGTATAATATGTTTTATGGGAAATTAAAGACTTATAAATTCTATAGCCTTGTAACCAGTGTCAGATATTTTTATATTTAAGGTTTCAAATTCACGTCCTTCAGTACAACTGAGGGACATGGCTGCGAAACGTTACTGCTATACATCTTCTACTCAAAGGTAGGTTGGGTTCACTCATTCCTGACATACAATACATGTGCAGTTTGCTTACACTGCTGGTAAAAATGATTTGAGTCACCAGGAAATCAAACTGAAATTGTACTAAGAACAAATGTGTAGTAAGGAAATCTCTATGGCTCAGCGGAAGACTTGCATATCCATAATTACTCATTAGTTGACGACGGTTCTGGGAGGGAGGCCTGAACACAATTAGTAACAGAAAAGGTTTCAGTACCACAAAAGAATGTTTTAAAATGCAATACACAGTGCCCTAAGCATGTTGCAGAAGTGATACCACCTATTTTGAAACAACGACTGCGTAGAATTCTGCTGCAGCAAAGGACTCAGTCTTGTGCCGCTGTGTGATCAAATCCTGGCAGGGGCAGAGTACAGCTGGACTCATCCCTGGTACCGTGTAGATTTGTCCTGTGGTAGAGGATCTGGTGTTTTGGCATGGTGGACTTAGCCACTGTTTAGACACTGTTTAGAGGCACTGTGCATGGTCAGAGTGTGCAAGCAACTATGTGCAAATCCCAACAGGGGGAGAGCAGAGCCGCGCAAGGCTTCCATTTCATATCATATCTCTGTGAATCAAAGGAAACAGGGGATCAAAAGCCATTTCAGCTTGAGAGACATTTCGTCTGAGATGGGTAAAATATAAAAAATGCTTAGAATAGGCACTAAATTGTAAAAAGACACTGAAGCAGAGTGGTGTAGACAACAAAAATATAGATACTGATAACACCTGCAACAGAATATCTGGTATACCCGTACCATTAATATAAATTAAGAACATGTTCTGACTTTATTACTCTTTATAGTTAACTTTCTGCTAGATTCCCAAGATGTTGCAGAAATCTTTACCGTAGGCATGTACAGAGCCAAATCATGGAAACAAAGGGTTTTGTTTAAAAATAAATAAATTTAATATTCTTGTAAAGACTGCTATAGATTGGAGTTCTGTCCAGATTGTATCCTAGTAAGAAAAGTGGTAAGAAAATAGATGGACGGAGTCCTGTAAAGCAGGAATACAGTATAAGTCTTCATCAGAATCCTCAGGTTAACCTCCACACAATGCATGTTGTATAGGTTATTGGATTACAAATCCCTAAAGTGTCATTTTACTATAATACTTTCATAATTTCAACTAAGATTCATTTAAAAATGAATATTGAAAAAAATATCACAGGGATATCTCAGGTACATCCTCCAATTATAACAGGAGCTTTAAAATTAATCCCTGTGGAGTGGTAGTGTTTCCTAGCTTTTGTTCCACTTGAGTTACTGTAGTTAATTAACTAAGTTAACGGAACTCAAGCAGGATCTCAAACTAGAAGGTACTTCAGAGGTACTTCAGAGACCCCTGGACTGAAAATGTATGGATTTCTAGAGAATGCCTTCAGCTGGTCAGTCCTTTGGAGTAATTTTTTGAAGTCTTTGCTATATGTACATATACAGTATATTATCCATCCATCCATTTTCTAATTGCTTCATCCAATACAGGGTTACAGTTGAGCCGGACCCCAACCCTGGCAAGAAAGGAGTGCAAAGCAGGATATACCTTTAATGGGATGCCAGTCCATCATAAATATTAGATTGTATATGATATAACATATAACATGTAACAGATAACATTAACGTTACTAGTATATAATATACAGTATACTGTAGTATGAAATATCATTATGCTTAATATTTAATCAAGCTCTAATTGATTTGAGAAAGATTCAAATTTTGTAAATGAAAATGAAAGATTTGTTTTTCATTTAACTGTAATTTGTTAGTTTTATATGTATGGTTCATCTTAAGTGATGTACTTGTAAAAGTAACAGAAACATAAATAGAAAACACTTTACCACAGGAGTTATGAAGAAGTTGACTGGGATACAAAGCTGCCTCCAAGATTCAAGCCCCCTGCTTCAACACTTGAGAAAATGGCAGACCCTGTGAGCCAGCGCTTCACACTAAAGAGATATGATTCTGGACCGGAACCTTGGCAGGTTAGTGTTCGTGTCATTATAAAGTATCTTACAGTATGTGACTGTGCTGTGGTATTGAGATGACATTGTTCTTTGTAAAGTACTACAATGCATGATGCTGTTCAGTATTTAAATCTCTGATAGAGGAGAATTTTTAATAACTTAAAAAGCCCATAGTAAACTACACAGAGACTGATGTCTTGGAACTAATTGTAGGGGTGAGAGATTTGTTTTTTATTTAGATTTTTGTGTGAGCATAACCTTAACAAAGACTTCCACTGCAGGACAAGAAAGCATTAACATAAATGTGTTTCAGAAAACAAACACACAATTAAAACCATTGACTAAAGTGGACAGAGAAAACCTTGATTCTGACTAATTTTAGTTAGAGCCACTAATGCACCCTAGATTGTAAAAGCAAATGCTACAGATCAAAGTGACATTAATGTATGTTACCACAAGAGGGCAGGCACTTATTAAAAAGACTGAATTTACACTATGCTGAACTTCAATAATCTAGAAAAGACTGACATGAATTGAACAGTTACTATGACTTGTCCCTGGATGTCAACTTTGCAATATCTAATGTCTATTATTTTTTTTCCATTTTCTAATACTCTTTTAAGGCAGTTGGAGGACTGTGGGACAGATTTCAAATACGAACTCCAAACAAAATACAAAAACCCATTTCATAGTGAGTGAAGGATGATGTTGGTGTACAATTTCTTTGCATCTTCAGTTGCATGTACTGTATTACCCCAGTAATTATTGCCTTATGCAATTTAAAAGAATACACAAGTTTGACTGCTTTAAAGTTGTTAAAAGCCTTAACCATTTCTCATTACAATTTATCTCGATTGCATTCTGTACAAATACTGTACATTAGCTACAGATGTATCAATAGTTCCATGTACTCTTAAAACACATCTCTTTAAAACTTTTGAATTAATTTAAGCCATTATCTGAATCACAGGATTTTATAATGTAATTTTGACGATTTGTACAGTGTAAAGTTTATCAACTGTAATTTCTTCAAATGTTTTTTCACAGTATAAGTCCTTGTCCAAGAATAAGCCAAATTCCTTTGTACACGTAAGTTTCAGTTTTTGAAAATATTGTTTTATGGTTACTTCTGTGACTGAAGGTTTCTGTGACCTTTTAACTGTCACTCATATCTCCCTGCCCCTGTTTGGTAGTGGCACCGCTGGGGCTGAAAATATGGAGGATGTGGACAACCCAGAGGAAGAGTTTGTTCCATTCACTGTGCAGCGCACCCTTCTACCACAATACACAGAGACAGCACAGTGAGTAGTTTACAAGTTATGTATCAGTGTTCACATTGTAAGGAAAACGTGTCATCCACCAGTAACTGTATGCGTAATATACTGCTTTATAAGTAGAAGGACTGATATTTCTTTTGCCTAACTTACAGGAGTTAATTATGTCAGAACAGAAGTAATAGAAATGAGATAACCTACTGTATGTATTTTGCTAGAGGGTAACTTTCTCATAATTGGTTTTGTTTTTGTCCTTTTTCCGTAGTTGTATTGATTTTTGTTGCTTTCATTTCAAAGTAATACAGTAGCTGCTGCAACATCCATGATTACATGTTGATGTTCAATCAGTGGAGTTTCATATTCTGGCGGGACATCCGATAGTATGCCTTCTATAACTTTGCAGGGCTTGAAAAGTATTCACCCCCCTAACAAAGGTTACCATGTTCCATATTTTGTTACCATCTAGGATGGAAAATGTGACATTATCAAATATGGACTTTATATTTAGAATCTACACAATGTACACTGATAAAATACAAACTGTTAAAGCTAAGAAATTCAGATAGAATCAGATTTCCAAAAAAGCAGAATATTCTCAATTGCATAAGTATTCAGCCTCTTTGCATCCCTCAATCTGCTGTGGTCCAAAAGATTAGTTTGAAAGCAACATAATGCAATGATCCTTTCTATGTACTGTGTGAGTAACTTAACAGTAAAAGTATACTTCCCTCAGTTGTATATTGAATTAGAAGCCACAACTTTAAACAAATTTAAAAGCCACAATAGCGCAATGACAAATAATCCATGAAGCCCAGGAATTGTCTAAAGATAAAAAGGTATAGAAGCAGAGATCGAAAGAAGAAAACTGCACAGTCCCTAATCATCATTAAGAAAGTGGACTGTGAGTCATACAACCCAGACGCTTCCCAGATCAGGCCTCTGCCAAACTGAGAAGCCAGGCAAACAGAAAACCAACAGTGACTTTGAAAGTTTTGCACAGCTCTGTGTCTGTGATGGGAGTGAGTGATCATTCAGTTTTGTGGTCTAAATACAAAACATTACATATGGCAAAAGCCCAACACAGCACATTACCCAGTCAGCAGCATGTCAAAGCAAGCATGGCGGAGACAGCATTATATTATGTGTGCTTTACATTAGAAGGGACTGGGAAGCTTTTAAGGATTGAAGGGGAAATGGATACTGTAAAGTACAAGTGAATCCTAAAATTAATCTAAAATTAAAGTTGGTAAAAATGTATACATTTCAACAAGATTAACCTGAAGCATTAACTGACAAGAAGGGAGGGGGCATAAACGTACTCTTCTTTACAAATAACAGAGATCATTTAGATTTTTTTATTGAAAAAGTTCATATGAAAACATTTGTAACACTCACTGTAATTAGTTTTGATTTTTAAATTTTCTGCTTCATGCAGAACAAAACAGCTCGATTTTCTTATATCAAATATATGTGTTATGACTAGTATACTGTTATACTTTACATTGTACATGTATTAACAACTGATGTATTATTCAGTTCTAAATAATGGTTTTCTGCAGATTTTCCTAAATTAAAATTTAACCAAAACACTTACACAGTTTGTATTGTGCTAATCTAGCTACAGAAAAGCAAAGCTGCAGTAAATGCTGGTATACAATAATTAATCAATTTAAAGCAACAGGCAGTTTATTTTACTTCTGTAGAAAAATACATACTGTATCATACAGAGATTAATCTAGGAGATTGTGACTAGTCATATGTAGTTTAGAAATGCATTTATTTCTACATAGCTACAGGTAACATTCCCACATAGTATAGCATTTTTTTTAAATGTCTCCCACCATGACAACAATGCATTAAGCCCAATGTAAAAAATGTTCTGGCAAGTAAGATTCACACCTGTTGCATACCAAGGTGTTATTATTTAGAACCAGCACAAACATAGAATGATAGCACCTATGAAAATGCATTTATTAATTACAAGTCCATTGCAGGGCAGACACAAAGACACACTTACAGTATATGTTTTTAGATTTTGGGAGGAAACCAGAGTATCCACACAATTGAAAAACATACAAACTCCACACAGCTTGCATCCTAGACCCAGACTTGAAACCAGGGCCCCAGTCCTGCAAGGCTGCAATACTAGCCACTGTGCCACCATGCTGCCTGAGCATGCTCCCATAGGCTCTTAATGATGTGAGAGGTCTTGTAATTGGTCTTGTGGGAGATGTTTAGGTATTACTTAGAGAATATTTGTTTTAAATATGTACAGATACTGGCTAACTGTTTTATGAATAAACTTCAATTAAAATCTATCGAAAATTGTGTCAAAGCTAAGCAGTTCCTTACAACAGCACGCTTACTGTATGCTTCTTATCACTGCTTCCTGTAAAATACTGCTTCCTGATTGACCAAGAAAGATTTTTAAATAATTCATAGATTTAGCAATAAATTTAACAAATATCTTAGTTTATATGCGGAGTAAAAGGTCAGTGAATGGATGACAGCTTCATAGGCGTTTCACTGTTATTCAGTAAGTGGGTGACGTACTGTAGGCTGAATTAGAATCATAGCAAGCCTTCAGCTTATTAGAACTCTGTTCCACTGAAGTGTCTAAGGTTATTCTAAAATGGTAAGGTCACATGATTTGTAAATCTAATTGCTATTATATGACAATATATATCCTTTTTGTTACATGGTAGAACTCCTATAGTAACTGCCTATCTGTTATTTTATTCTTCTCTGGACATTTGCTGGATTTATTTTGTACTTCACTAGGTTACTGAAAGCTTGAAATATATTTTCCAAAGCAGCTTGTTCTATCTGACTGTGCTTTTATTTACCTTTTGTTTTCTATTTCTAGCCGCCCAAATATTCCAGGCTATACAGGCAGAGTTCACTTCAAAGCTTCCCATCCTGCAAACTCCAGCCTTCCTACACCACCTACTACAGCATTAGTGCATGGGTAAGTATACCTGGCTGGTAAATTACATACAGTATATGGAATAAAATACTTGTCAGCCATTGGCATTCCTGCAGGCGGTGCTTGGAACCTGGTTGTAGCCAAGTTGAAACAGCATTGTGAAAGTATTCTTCCTGCATGAATCAAGGAGGAGCATTATTTAGAAATATTAATTTTACTGCTCCCTGCTTCTCTTTAAATGACTATTATGAATCATTGAATCTCATCTAGATACCAATTTAGTGAAATGTATTCATTGTCCACTGAATTTAGGGTGATTTTTATGTACTAAAATAACATTAAACATTGCCCTTTGATTATTGCATACTGCATTTTTTCTTGTCTTATTTGACTGCTGGCAATAACCCACAACCATTAAGCATTCACTGGAGACTAGAAAACTGCAGCATTGAAATGAAAGTAAAATGGGCTCTGGGATTAAGGATCAGTGTCACTAAACTCTGCCTGAGGGACTGATACGGTAAAACACTCAGGGTTGTTATGTTAAAGAATAAACTGCTTGCTTTTTTTGGTAAAAAGCGCAGTCTTGGATAAGAAATGCTAAGTTGAAAGATATCTCATGTAATTCAGTATAAACACAGAACAAAAACTGAAAATGGTGAAAATTTTGACAAAGGTCATGCAATGGGCAAAATTGAAAGTTGTAGTATTTTTGTCAGTGTTCAAAGAGTTCACTGATAAGAGCATAATAACATTTGCAAACGAGAGAACCATTCAGTCTATTTATCTCATATTATTATTATTATTATTATTATTACTTTATTAGCTAGTTGATCCAATAGGAACACAATAATGTTTTCAAACAACAGGGGGCCATTCTGCCCATCTACAGTAGATCTTTTCTTCAGCACTGCAGCCTGTGCTGTGAGTATGAAGAACAGTTTTAAAGACACCATTCCTAAAAATGCATCACTTTTTGAAAGCATACAATGAAAAATTTAAAGGATGAAAAAGTAGCAAGTGGCGTGACGAGAAGTCTTTTGAGTTTTGAAAACATTAAAAATGACTGTTCCCACTAGGTAATTTGGACAGAGAAACACAGATAAAAAATAAACTTAAGAACAAAAAGCTGATTAATAATCATAAGAGGAAACATTTTTATGCAAAGATGTGTACATTGCACATTGAGTACACCTGTTCTCATAAGTCAATCAGAATCACCTTGGTTATAGTCTTTTTGGGTAACAAGAGCAGTTGACATCACTCAACTCTTTTGTTTTGCATCATTTATTGTCATAGTATTGCCACTAAGAAAAACTAATTTCTTGTTTCTAAAACATAATGTGAAATGAACAGTTCATTAATCTAAATTCCATAGTGTCAAGTTTACTTTTAACATGATTCTTATAAGTTCTTATAAGTCACTATTAACAGAAAAGGTTTGAAAGAGTGCCAGAGTAAAAATGTTTATGTTTACATTTATAGTTCACAATTGAAAAAACAAATTAAACACAGTAAAATACATCTGGAATTGACCAATAAACATAATCAAATATATTATCTAAAATCATTATTTAAATTTAAAAACGTTTTTTTTTCTTTTTCTGTACATTTTCTTTGTGTGCACAAAATCTTTAGGTGCCTACTTTCTCAATAATTGTCTGAAGGCTTGTGCAGCCTATTTGAGGGCCCCAGCCAGGCATTGATCTAGCCTAGATTTACTACACTTCAGCACTTTACAGCTTGTCAGTTGGTTTTGGTCACCTAGTGGTTAGGATATAATACTAGAACCTAAAGAGTTATGGGTCCAAATCCCAATGGTGGCTGGAAAAATAGAAGTAACTGACAGTGATGATAATTAATAGGGGTTGATTTAGGCTGAGAATGTGGTAAAGAAGGGAAATGGAGAGGACGACGTTAAGAAAGAGGGAAGTTAGGTTGTGGAACAGAGGAAAAACAAAGCAGTGAGCTAAAATAAAACAGCTTCATCCTTCAACTCTTGACAAGGGATTTATTCAACTTGTCTTTTTTATATTATAATTCATTATAACAATATATAAATATTATGTATTAAATAAATGTTCTGTTATATATTATGTACAGTATGTTCAGATAGAAGATACTATATATTATATGTTATATTGCTATTATTTTTTTAAGTACTATACTTGGTCTGAAGCAAATGTGTACCTTACACGTTTGTCTTAAATTAATAGATAATTAAAATCAGTGAAGGGGGATTACAGTAATTATTATGTCAGTAATTGGTTTAGATTATTAAATTAATGAGGACAGCAGTTTGTAATAATGTGGTTCCATAAGTCTTTTTTGTGTTTGCAGTCCTAAGGGTGATTCATCATGAATTGACACATTTTAAAAGTGTGACCACTAAAGTGTTATCTTTGAAAAGGTTCCTGAGAAGTATTGAGCAAGTTAGGCAGTTAACTTGGTGTGTTTTCCATTGAAGGATGTTTAAGTTGATGTTGTTTTCCGACCTGAGTCGGCACTGGCAGATTAGGTTAAGTAATGTATTAGTTTGCTTTTAAAATAAAAACCTCTGGCAACATGTGGGTAACAGTATACCTGACTGGCTGTGGCTTTAGAAATTCTGCCACCTTTCCTTAGGCCCAAATGCATCCACAAGTAAAATTCTGTTTCCTGAACAAATTTCTCTTTCTGCTCTTTATGGGCATTATTCACAATCTGTTCTGCTTTTACAAAATAAGAAATATTAAGGCATGGCGAATAAGGAATATTTACACAGTATTCACTTTGTAGGGTGTAGTTCTTTCATTGGAGGAGTTTCCTCCTCACAAATATATAGCTTAATCCTTAAATACAGAATGAGGTGCACTTTGCTTCCCAGCATTGAAGTTAGAAAGCATACAGTTTTGGTTATAGTGCCTAACTATTGTACATAGTGTGACTGAAAAAAGTAAAAAATGAAAATATGTATATGATGTTTATATCTGTAGTTAGCAGTGAATAGGAACTGCTACTGTTTGGTCCTCATTTGCAGTCTGACCTGTTGAAACACCAGGAGAGAGTGCATACAAATAAACTGACCCAGCTGCAGCGAGGAAAACTAAAATTAGGGAAGCAGAACTCGAACCACAAAAACATAAGAGAAGTAACTTTAATTTCAATGGTTTGCCCCTTTTTCTATTGCTTTTCCTAATTATTTCAGCTGTGGATGGTGTGTTAGTGTGTGTATTGTATTGAGATCAGGAGTTGAAAATGAGAAAATTTGAGCTCAGTGTCAAATTATATTTTTACATTTTTTAGCTCAAGCTTGATAAATATTTATAAGCCACCTAGTGGTATTGGTCCTTTTGCTGCTGTTGATGTCACCTATGATCTCATCATGTATTCCATGAATTTCGGATAAACAGGATAAGCATTTAGAGACATAATCTTCTCTTATTACTTGACTTTATAACCAATATCTATTTTTAGTCAAGTCTATCATTTGTAATAATGGACATTAGGAAAAAAGTATGAATATGTGTTAAACTCTTTCAAAATTACACAGTTTTATTATGACTGTAAATTCAGAGGCTACTGTTTTCTGTTATACAGAATAAGTAAAACACCATCATGGTTGGGCCCCACAAGAGCTAAATTTCAGAAATATCTGTTCTTTGGTTTGAAGCATTCCAGATGGTCTCCTGTTCATTTCAAAGGTTTGTTTTACTCGCGGTAACGGTGGTTTTCTCTACCAGGATCTTTTTTCCTGGAGCCAACTACCCTCAGATGTAAAATGTGTTTCCTCTGCAGATTCATTTAGGGACAAGTATCCTTCCTTAAGATAAAGAAAACAAAACATTGGATTGACAATTTTTAGGACTTTAATTTTTCATCATATTTTGTGTATTGCTCTTTCAAATAAATCTATACATAAAGAGATATTAACAACAAATGCTACAGGTTCCAGTACTATTTTCTGGTGTTTCTAATTCCTCTCAGTATACTGTTTATACTGTATATAACATCCTCTTTCTATTACCTTCAGCACTAAAAAAAGGAATAATATTTATTTATACATTCATTTTTTTATTTTCTCACATTTACATTACCTTTTTCCACATAAAACCAAGGTTTTTATATAATTTTAATCTCATAATAAATATTCTTCTTCTGGGCTGGGGAGATGAAGGCCTATCCACAGTTGTCTACCTTTGACTTGACACTGAAATTAATTGTGAATAGTTTTCTATTTTTAATGTTCTCCAGACATAAAGCTTCTTTCTTTGAAGTTGTAGAATTATATGGAGTAAGAAAGTAGTTGGAAAGTATTTTGTTATTTATATGTCAAAAATATTATTTTATGTTAATGGATTTGGCATTTTAATAGAGTACTGATCTTCCTAAAATTAACCAGGAAGAAGGCATAATGTCAAAAAGTTTACCTTAAATGGATTTTTCCTACAAGCAATCTCACACATACTTTTTGTGCATCATGCAGAAGTGTTTCAGGCTTAGCCTAGACCACACTTAAGAGTGGTTGTGTCATTAGTAGAGCACCACTGAAGTACCCCATGCAAATGTTGGTTAACACCACAGAATCATAGACCATTGAAAAAGAATGGACAGGCACAGGAAATACTGATGCCAACACATGCTTAATGATGAAGGTATAGACAGAGCTTTAAAAAACTCAAGATTGATAAAATATACAAAGCAGCATTTTTTTTCTTTCATCCAAAACAATATAATTGAAGCCTTACTTGATCCAAGAAGTTGCTTCAATTAAATATTTGCATTTTGTTTGTAGCCATTATTATTTTATGTAATTGGATTTGACATTTTAATAGAGTACTATAGACCTGATCTTCCTAAAATGAACCAGGAAGAAAGCATGTAAAAAAGTTTACCTTAAATCGATTTTTCCTACAAGTAATCTCACACATAATGTACTTGATGTGTGTATGTCTCACAACATGTTTAAGAGCTGGGACCAAAAATTCAAATTAATTTCCAGCACATTTAAGAACTGGGAAAAACTGTTCAAATTAATCTGATTGTTATTAAGTCAATAAATGGTTTGATTATTTAACTGAGGGCTTGGCTTGAACAAAAACATATCACGTTGACTTATGGAAGTATGAAACAAGTGGTCAGATCACCAGAATGCAAAAATATCCTTATTTGTTCACGCACCAGATTGAAATTACAGATTATTGTCCTTTGCAGTACATGAGAAAAATGTATTCACCAGAATATATATCTGCATTACCTCATTTCCTGTTCTAGATTGTAAAAAAATTGCAACACTTTTTCTATAGTGACTCCCAGAAAGGAAACTGCTCACCTCAGAATAAAATGACAATTTGTCTTGAAAATGTTTCCTGCACTTGTATTTTGCTCTAAAAAATAAATTACAACAATTGAAGAAAAGTTCTACAGGTAATTTGCAGAGGGTAGGACAGCAGCAGGGGTTGTCATTCATGACTTGCAGTGCTGGTGACCTGGTTTCAAATCCTGGGGTATTACCTGTGTGTAGTTTGTATGTTTTGTCTGTGTCAGTTTCTTCTGAATGCTCCAGTTTTCTTCCACAGTCCAGAGTCATACTAGGAGTTCAGTTGGCTTCTGGGAACATTGGCTTTGGTGTCAGTGTGTGTGTTTTTGTGTCTGTGGGTGCCCTATGATGGACTGTCATCCAGTCCATGGTGTATCCTGCTTTGCTCCTGCTCCCTCATGGCCCTGTAAAAGAAGCCATTAGAAAATGAATGGATTTGTAGGTTCATAGGAGGAAGAGTTTAAAGAAGTTTACTTTTTCTTTTTATATAAATTTAGGCATTCAAAAAGGGAAAATGGCAACATTACACAAGTTAGGGAACACAAATCATTTTTCTTTTTATAGATAAAAAATAAACATAAATAGTAAGCACCATAAAGGAATAGAGATTGTTATGCAACTCTTGATTTTTAGATGTATTTGTTGAATATTTTGTTTTTTCCCCCAGACAATGTACATAACAATATTTTTATTTTTAATGGTGTATAAAATAAAATATACAATTGTATTTTCTAAATATATCAAATAAGCAGTAACATAGTGGACAGTATTGTTTAAATAATAAAAACGCTCTATCTTTCTTGTCTAGGTACATTATGACCAGTGGGAACAAATCTCCACATAGACGTCTGGGACCTCTTTCCAAAATGGTTACAAACGTGTCTCCTTGCAATCCCTTCCAAAATATAAGGAGGGAAGCTGTTCATGTCTGAGAAGCTATGTGCAGACATCATAGAAAGGGGAAAAAAGAAAAACTGTGAAAAGTGTGAATTTCTGTCTTTTGAAACTGGATATATTATTTCCTATTAGCCACATAATAATGTAGTATAAATGGTTGATTCTCTGTGCTCCTGAATAATGAGATGCTGTATTAGCATAATTTGCCTGATTTAGATGAGTGGTCCTGTGACCTCTGAGACCATTATGTACAAGCCGGTGTTCCTTTTTTAATGAATTACTTTCACAAGCCTGTGTGACACCCTCTCTAGGTTCCTCTGAATTATATATATATACAGTATATATGCATTAACTTGGTATAAGATCATGCCTGTGACCAAACTGTCTGTTGTTGGAGCTGATACTCCAGTTTCAGGTCAGTCACTGTAGTTCCTACTTATATAGTTATTATTTAGACCTAATTAATGTTTGTGTATATTTCTACATCTTGTATACTTTAGTATTGAGTTATTGCTTCTAAACAAAAGGGTGTAATTCAACAACAGAAATGTTACACTGTGATTGTTTTTAAATGTAATTGTATGTGTTGCTGTGTCATTAATAAGTAAAAGACCAATACTCAACTTCTTTAAGACTGAAAAATAGAGCCTTGGCCTTTCTTTTTCTTAGTGATTTTTTTAACAATTATTGGAAGAATGCCAATTAATGTACTGCTGTGTGTTTACATACTCTAATTTGATGTTTTCACAAAACTTACTGTAGATCAAATCTTACTTTCATATTGTATTCCACAGAAAAATTACCAAATAGGCTTAGCAAATAAAAAACAATAAGAATTGGAAAATGTCTAGTTTCTACAATATAGTAGATCAGTAGTTTTGTCGTACTAAAAACTTAAAAGGGGGGATGCATGATACACTAGTTGCACGATACAGCAGCAAGTATTACACAGGGGCAATAAATAGCCAAACATTATTCCATATACTGTATTAGAAAAGCTGTAGCATGTCCTTCCTTTTGTTGCAGCTCCCATCATGACTCATTGGAAAAAGGAAAGAACATCATGCTGTAGGTTTTCATTTCAACACAGATTTTGAACAAGGAATGGAATATGGTAAACCAGATGATGTCAAATGCTATATTGGTATCGGATGAATTAAGTATATTTTTTCTGTATTTTATAAAAAAAAACATTTAAATAATATTTCATGCAGTCCTTTTGACTATAATCCATCTCAGCTGTAACTTATTTGGTTTAAGGCACAAAGCTTCTGCTGCACTTCTCCACATTTAATTTGTTTAATTATGTGAACTTTATAAGTGTACACCTTTGGAAAGTTCAGGCCTGTTTTCAGTGAAAAGCTTCGCTATGTCCTTTGAACAAAAATTCAGATTGCTAACACTGAGTGTCAAAAATGTATCACTTACTGTATACAGTAACTGCAAAGAACTCACAAGGTTATCAGGTTGTTGTTTTCTTTACAGTGGGTACTCTGACATCTTAGGAAACAAGAATGTGATGTTCTGTACCATTCTTCTCATAGATCCTGTATAGATACAGTGTTGTGAAAAAGTACATTCCCTTCAGATTTTATGGTTTTACATACAGTATTTAGACATTTGATCTTCGCTTAGTCCTAGATATTAGATAAAACTAACCTCATTTAACCACACAAAAAATTAACTTTGTCATTTTTTTTTTTTAAATCAACCATTGTTCGGGACGTACCAGTGCACAGCTTGCACCAGACTGGTGTGCAGTAAGTCAAGGTTTTCTTCTGTCAGAGCAACTAGAGCAGCACTTATTCTATAGTGTCCTGCCCCTAACAGTTCCTAACCACAGTCGATACTGTACATAACAGTAGTGTCCAGGTTGTATTGCATGTCCTGGACCCTGATCAGAACAGAGCTTGTCCACTTAGGAGTTCCATAGTAAGGCATTTTTTTAATTGTTGTGAAAATGAATAAGGTATATTTCCTTCAGATCTAAAGTGATATTGTTTTTCTGGGACTGGGTACAGATACTGTATGTGTTTATTTCATGTTGTCAATCTTCTGCTTTGTTAGTTTTTCATCATTTATGTTATATGTTAGGGGATCATGAGACAATGGGGCACAGGTGGGCAGGTCATACAAAAAACAGGTTGTTGTAGTAATAATTATTAGTAAACCAGAAGGTGATGCTGTACACTTGACTTTCCAAATCAATGAAGGAGTACGATAATGGGAGGCACTGGGAAGTAGGAGACATCATTCATTGGATGAGACAAATTGAGACAAACAATAGATGTTCCCATGGTACTATTTGTACCTGTACTGTGTAAATTGCATTTAGCACTTGCACTATCTGGCCCAGCTTCTGTAGTTATCTTTTAATCTCAATTGGTTAAGTAATTCTTATTTTTCCACCTGACCTTCTGTGTAAATCTGTTGCAATGGTACCCAGGCGGGTGTGGCTCTTTATTCACTGTATTTTTCTTTAGGAAGTACTTTGGAATTCCAAGTGGTAAATAAATGCAAAAAATTGTTGTGGTTGTTATGACATTGCGACAACACCATGGTGAATTATGAATGACAAGAAAGAGACATTTACTGATCGATCTGAAGCCAAGTGATTGAATGTAAAGATCATAATTAAGAAGAGTATTCGGATTTCATTGAAAAAATCCAATTTCTGAATTTTTTTTTTCAGGGTAAAATGTCTATCAGCCCAGTTCATGACTTTGAAAAACAAGGAGCAAAAACAGTTAATGAGTTTAACCCTTAGCTGACACTGGCACATTTTACCTACTTTCAGAAGTAAATAAGGCTGCAGCTGGCAGGCACAGCGGGAACCATATCCTCTTCCTGTGTATAAACAGGGGCTGCATTGGTTTCCTGATTTACATCTCACCATCAGCGTTAATTCTCTGAACCTCTACTAAACCTTAAAAGCATCATATGTCAAATAAAAAGCCCTCTTCCAACTGTCTTCAGACTAAAGGAAGCTGATAAACAGTGGCACTATTATGCTTTTCTACTTATTTGAACAATTTGTGTTATCTTTAACACTTTTATGATAGCACCTAAGAACTATACAATAAAGTCTTGTCATTCTATGCATTCATACATTATTCTGAATTGTGTGGTTTTATATGATTTTTGTCAAACTGTACAGTTTTTGTCTTTCATCTATGAAATATTCATATTATTCACTGTTACTGTTGCTATGGTCCACAATACTTTAGTACCAAGTTTAGCTAAACAGAATTACTCTCAGAAGACTGTAGTGTTGTGAAATTGAAATATTAACATAAAAACACCCATTATAGTAGATAATACAACTGAGAATTTATGTTTTGCTTTTAGGGTTTTCAATTTTTTTTAACACAGGGGCTGACATTTTATTTTCACAGGACTGGAACTTATTCACAGGGGAAATTCACCAAAAAACAGAAAGCAAATAAAGACAGAAAGACCACACTCTGTAACATATGGTGTGAATACACTGTATAAGTTGCAAATAGAATATAGTAGGGGAGTCTGACTTTATGATGTGGAATTTAACTAACAAATTAGTAGAATCTTTCATGTTACCATTAATATGCAATCAACCCCCTTGAAATGGGCTACTTGCTAAAAAATCCCCTTCACATAATAGAACAATTATTGTGACAAATTATTAAACTAATCTGTCCATTCATTTTCTAACTGCTTCATTCAGTGAAGGGTTATAGGGAAGCCAGAGCATTACCCACCAAGCAACACAGAGACAAACATGCACACACTCACACCAGAGACAATTTTCCCAGAAGCCAATAAACCTACTGTACCAGTATATTTGTGGACTGTGCAAGCAAACCTGAGCATTCAGCATAAAAACACATGAACACAATGAGAACATACTGTACAATCTCCACACAGGCAGCACCATGAGGCAGCAATGCTAAGCACTGCCCCACTATACCGCCCTATCAAACTAATCAGCATGGCAAATTTACATAACATTTGAGATTATTTTTCTTTTTTTAGGTATTTTTTTCTGAGCTGTTTACTAATGAATGAGATTTTTTTAGCTTTATTTACCATAAGAATGATTATCCAAGTACTTGTAAGTTCTTGTGTTTTGTCTCTCTTTTTATAAAGAGAAATTAAAATAACCACAATGTTTTCAGCTCTTGTTCCTGTCAAGCATTCACTATTACAGAAAGAACATAAGCCAGAAAGTCTCTTTTCCAGCATGAATTTTCTGAATTTCACAAGCTGTGTGAAGAGGCAGAGAGGAAGCAGTAGAGTTGGCTGAGTAATTTGGTAAAGGAAGCCCAACGGTCAGTAACGATCAAAACATTAAAAGGGCCAGTATCTCAGGAGAATGAGATTGGGTAGTACTCTGAAAAGGGTGGAGTAATTGTTTGATTTGAGAGGAGAGCAAAATAAATCAATGTGATTTTGGTATTATAAATACTGCAAAGGCATTCACATTAAACAGTCTAGCATTTTCTAAAAGACTAATTTTATGTGTGACTTGCATGTTGTGTAAAATGGCAAATGCAATGGGTGTACTTAAGCCTCCACATTCAAATGGATGAAAACTAATGTTTAATGGATCTTGTAAATTCTTAATACTGTACATCCATTCATCCATTTTCTAACTGTTTTATCTCATACAGGGTCACAACGGATACTGAGCCAGATTGCAGGGCACACATACTGTAGACATACACACACTCACACCAGAGCCAATTTTCCCATAAGCCAATTATCCCACTAGTATGTTTTTGGACTGTGGGAGGAAACCAGAGCAAATGGCGGATATTTATACAAACACAGAGAGAACACTCCTGGCCTCCAACGCTGCAAGGCAGCAATGATAACCCCTATGCCACCATACCGCCATTCATAAAATACAATAAATAGTCAATTTTGAACACTGTAACAGAACACCTGTATGTTATGTATAGTGTTATGTAAGTGTATAAAAGACGTCACTGTCTCTACATTTATCATCACACGGGCCAACCAGAAGCCATGGCTGAATGCAAAGGTCCATGCACTGCTAAGAACCCGTGATGCTGCATCCAACCTGTCCCATGCCATCAGGGAGGCAAAGCGCACCTATGCATGAAAAATCCATGGCCACTTCCTGGACTCCAGAGAAGCCCAGAGATACACGGCACATGTGGTCGAGCATCCAGGCCATTACTGATTACTGGACAACCCCATGTGCCAGTGACGGTGATGCCTCCCTACCGCATGTGCTGAACAACTTATATGCATGGTTTTGTAGAGGTTTTGTGAATTTACTGGGACAATTAATAATTGTAGCAGTAATCACGAGGTGGTTCATTATGGCTTTTAGAAAATCAATCAATCAGCGATGCACACACACACGGATTCAATAAATGAGGTACATTTATTTATACATAAATTGTGCATAAAACATATAACAGTCTGCCTGGATACAGGTGGCAGATCTTGAGGGTTACCAAAATTCAAGGTATATAATCACGAAGAGATGCAAAACACAAAGAGATACAAAGAATATGCTTCAGTATACTGTTCGGCTAGACAATCGTTAATCAGTCTACATTAGCTACCCAAAAGTAAATACATTACTCATATGAATTGAATTGAACTTGTGTTGAGGTAACAATTGAATTCTCGAGATGAAATGTAGAACATTGGGTTTACTTATCCAGATATGGATTCGTATTTCTCAGCACGGACACCAAAATCCAGCTAGCGGCTGCTTCCAATCGCTGCGATGTTCAATCAGCGGCGTCCCGGAGTCCTCTGGCTCCTGGCAAACCAGTTTGGGTACAGCTCGGAGTCGGATGAATTGGGAGGAGAGATTTCTGCTGTGGTGACGTGCCCGACTGTGTCTCTCTCAGAGACCTACTAGTAGTCTGGCCGACTAGTAGAAAGTCTCTATGCACAGATGGTGAACATGGGTCCGAACAAATCACTCTTTAGGGGGAAGAAACTTGGTTTGCTTCTGGTGTAGAGCTGCTGCTCAATAAAAACTTATTCAGGTTGTTGATAAGAGTACAAACATATACTCCAGTGATCAAGCAAAACGTCCACGTTGGCGTTGGCTAGTGATTTATGCACGGGCATTCCCCAGGCCGACACTGCTGAAACAAGGTTCCAGTCCCTATACAGACAACACTGGCCATCACATGACTGTCTCTGAGGGTGTGAAAATTGGCCGGAGAAGCAAAGTTTCTGAGCTCTGCAGTGTCTTTTAAACCAGGACCAAGACAGGTGATAATTGGTTGAAAGTTTAGTGGGCATTTCAGACCCACATGGGATTACCATGTCCTGCAGGTTCCTGAATGGTTGGTCAAGGTGAGAGATGAGTAACAATGATCTTTGACATCTAGGACCACAATCCAGATGTTCTCAAGAATCTCACAGACAGATAGGCACCAAGAATGGCCATTGATCATGATAACCAAGCATGGCTGGGCACATCCCCATTTGGGAGCTGCTTCTTATCTGCGAGAAAAAACCTTAAATCAGAACTGCATGAATAGCTTCTTTGTGGCTGCACCACAGAGATGAGAGAGAGATGGGGCCTCATTTAGGAAAGCACAACAATGCTTAATTCTGACTTATTAATAAGCATTGCCATACAGTTTGAAGCAATGAACGTTGTGCCTGTGAGGAAACCACACCTCCTCCTGATGATCAGGTGCTTTGCCTGTTCACAGCTGATGTGAGGAGGACACAAAGTTAATTCACGTAAGACTGCTGGACCTGATAATATACTGTACCTTGTCGTGTGCTCAAGGAATGTGCAGAACAGCTGGCTGACGTCCTCACAGATATCTTTAATATCTCCTCATGCCAGGTGGTCATCCTCATATGCTTCAAATCCACCAATATTATACCAGTCCCGAAGAAGTCAACAATGTCCTGCCTCAATGATTACTGCCCTATGGCACTCACACCAATTATCATGAAGTGTTTCATGAGAGGCCAGTCATGAGCCACATAAAGTCCAGACTCCCTACCTCTCTGGATCCCCTTCAGTTTGCATACTGCCTCAACCGGTCTACTGATGATGCCGTATCTCTTGCCCTTCACCTGGCCCTGTCCCCACCTTGATAAGAACGACTCTTATGTAAGAATGCTTTTCATTGACTTCAGTTCAGCATTTAATACAATCATCCCCCAGAAGGTGATAGAAAAATTAAGCTTGCTGAACCTCAACAACTCTCTCTGTAACTGGATTCTGGACTTATTGACCGAGAGACCTCAGACAGTCCGGATTTGTAATAACATCTCCAGCACCATCACAATGAGCACTGTGTGCTCAGCCCACTGCTGTTCACATTGATGACTCATGACTGTTCTGCCAAGCACAGTTCAAATTACATCATCATGTTTGTCAATGACGACAGTGGTGGGCCTCATTAGCAGCAATGATGAGTCACCATACAGAGAGGAGGTGGAGCAACTTGTGGACTGGTGCACAAACAACAACATATCTCTTAATGTAAATATCACAAAGATAGAGATAATCATTGATTTCAGGAGGGCCCGTGCTGATCACTCCCCACTGCACATCAACGGATCCCCTGTAGAGACAGTTAGAAGCATTAAGTTTATTTGTGTATACATTACAGATGACTTCACTTAGTCCCTTAATACCACCTTCCTAGACAAAGAAAGCACAGCAGCGTCTCTATTTCCTGCAGGGACTGAGGAGGGCAAACCTTCCCCTGCCCATTCTTACCACGTCTACAGAAACACCATTAAGAGCACCATGATCAGCTATATTATTATTTGGTTTGGGAACTGCAACGCTTCAGACCACAAGACCCTGCAACAAATTGTGCAAACAGCTGAAAACATAATTGGAGCCTCCCTCCCTTCCATTTCTGATGCCTATCACAAACGCTGCTTACACAGGGCCTCCAGTATAGTAGATGACCCCTCCCATAAACTCTCTGCCCTCCTACCATCTGGAAAAAGATATCATAGTATACACACTAGCTCCGCCAGACTCTGTAACAGCTTTTTCCCGCAGGCTGTCAGGCTCCTCGACACCCTGGAATCTACTGGCACCCACCCCAATTCCAGAAACAGGGTTTAAATCCCCCCAGTGTGTTGTGTATATTGTATGATTTATTTGCCTTAGTAATTTGCACTATTTGCACTTTGCACTATGTGTATCCTGTCTACAATGTCTATGTCAGTGTCTTGTCTGTATTTTGCACCATGGACCAGGAGGAATGATATTTCATTCCACTGTATACTGTACGTGTATATACATGTAGCTGGAATGACAAATAAATGTGAACTTGAACCTAAAAATAACAATTATACTTTGCTGTTAGATTTTCTTCTCCTCTACTACAGACATTGTCAGGTATTATAAATGCATCCACAACATTTTTATAAACGGGCAACATTTGGCTGTTATCACAAGCTTTTGATAAAATAAAACCTCCACAAAATATAAAGGGAATTCCTGCAGAATATGGTTAAATGATAAAGACCTTTACAATGACAATGGTCAACATAACATGAGCCAAATCTTTCATATCTGAGGCCCTAAATTAAAACCCTGCTCTTCAGTTCCCTGCTCTCAGTTTTTGACCATAATGAATTTCAGATCACATAAAAACCCATGTACTTGTTATACCATGTATAAGAAGATATAACAAGATTAGACACAGATTATGAACACCGCAGTGTCTGCAGTAGCTATATCTGGTATGGCAATAGAAAATATCAGGTTCCTTTTCTACTGTACTTTAACAAGCTATTGGTCAAAAATGAACGTTATCTCCACCATGTTTGATACCACTGTTGTCAAACTAAATAATAATAACATTTCCCTCAGAATAGAAAAGAATTAATCATAATGTTATATTATGCCTCCAATGGTGAAAAGGAGAACTACTGTACAGGCATCAATAACAACCTCTTCCAATTAACAGCAACAACTTTTTCTGAAAATCTTGTATCTCACACTTTGAGTCACATTTTACAGGAGTTTGACTCATCCAAGCAAATCAAACAGCAGCATTGTGTGACTGTTCAGCATTAAAGTAATATTAAGCAAAACAACAGTAAGATCAATAACAGAATGGTTACAGAGGAATTCATTATAATAATTCTGTTTTTGCATAAGTAAAGCAAGTTCTGCTGAACTTTGTATTTTTTCAAAAATACTATTTTTGTATTCGCTGTATTGCTGACACATTTTAATGATATAAACTGAAATCTAAGTAAAATAGACCCATAGAGAGTTTTGATGCTTACTGTATCACTCCACGCATGCTTTAAGGCAAGTAATCAAATTTTAAATACTGATTGTTTTTGGTAATTGTAACTCAGAAGGGTTCTTAACAAAATTGTGTGAGGATGACATCAGACAAGTCACTTTCAGATGTCCCAATTCATCATTCTAACCCTATTGCTCACAAACTATAAAGACCATAAGAACAGAAAGCCTCTCTTTACACATTCATATCACACATGAAGCATCTATAATGCAAAAACAAATTTCCTTTTTACTTGCTTCCTCAACAATGTCTTCCAGAATCACTTCCCTTTCTGCCATGGATCTTCATATGCTGTTTTGATGATTTTCCTTTTCAGACTCGAGCAAGAGTTTCCTGCCAGTATATCTTCTCCTTGAACCATCTCACCACCCCAGTCACCTGCTTCTCACTCTCAACTGGCTTTACCACCAGGTCAGTTTCCCTGCCTTACTTAAAACTGTGATCAGATCCATTCATTTACTTCCTCCACAGTTGCTCTCACTTAGGACTTCTCCTTCTTTATGGACATCTCCCTAAACCTCCTAACACCATGATAGTTGTTCCGCCTCCAGGCCCCCACTGTCACTTTGGGAACAAATAAAGCAAGGTGCAATCATCTTGTCCATCTCATCTTGTTAGTCTTATCAAGCTCAGGCTCAGCACATATAGCCCCTGGAGCCTTTCCCCAGCCCACTCCACCTCACATTCCCCCAAATGACTATTGGTTCACCTCTCAACCCTGTTCAGATTTTCTAAATTACTACCCCACTCTGTATTTTTCACTCACTGTGTTTCTGAACAGCCATTCTTCTGTTTTTTTCAACCTATGACCCCAAGTCCATAGACTCCTCCCTTATGACAGTAATCAACAATGGCTTTATGATTAGACACTTCAATTTGCCTTTATTTCCCCATTTTACTGTATTAGCACCATCAGACAGAAAAGGTGTCTTTATTATCCCCCGGAGGCAGCAGAAACGATGAAAACACACAAATAAATAATATACACATGCACAAAAGAATAATCTGTTGAGCAAGGTTATGGCCACAGGTCTAAGTAAGAACTTAAACATGTTTGTTTTTAGATTGGGAAATCTAAATGGAATATCCTTTACTCAAGATATGTTACTGTTAATCGTGGGATAGGGCCAAAAGACAGCACCAATGACTTTCTGACATAGTGTGACAATACTCCCCAGTTTGTTCTTACTACTCAGATTCATGTTCTCAAGCCACAAGATCAGGTCAGAAATTGAAGCAGATTCAATAAAAGACTGATAAAACACAATCAACCTTAAAATGTTTGAGCTTCCTTAAGGAAAATAGATGTTGTTGACCTTTATTTAAAAAATAGAATCACCATTTGCCTAAAAAATTAACTTCCAGTCCAGAAAATCCTACATATTTTTTTAATATATATATGTATGTATTTAGATATTTATCTACCATTTGTTGAGTGGTAGTCTGAGGGTTGTTCCTCAAATCAATTCACATGTCTTTGAACTTAAAGACATTTAACTTTAATTAGTTTTGTTCACAGCATGTGGCAAACTCATCTACAACTGGCCGATGGCCCCACTCATCTGCTTGCAACAAACTAAAATAACAAATCTGCAAATTTAATGATGTGTCTTGTGTAGTAATAACAATCATTTGTATACATAATAAAGAGTTAGGGAGACAATATACACCCTTGGGGAAACCAGTATCAATTCTGCTCTTGATAAGCATTCTCTCATCCATTGCTCATCTTGATTCGATTACATTCTGTGATGTGGTAGTTGGTAAAAACAAATCCCAATTTGCCAAAATTAGGATTTTGGCAATCCCAGAGGTAGTGCCAACATATATTCCATTATACATATTTGTACTTGGAGATATTTGGAGAAAACCTTTATTTTATTTTATGCTATTGTCTGGTCAACCTGTGGAGCTATACCATCGGTAGATTAATAGACTAATTAACCAGGAAGAAGGCATAATGTCAAAAAGTTTACCTTAAATGGATTTTTCTTACAAGCAATCTCTAAAAATATGTATATTTAAATGTCATTAAATGTCTGTATATTGCTATATTCCTAGCCATCTATTTTGTGGCCAGGTGTCTGGACTTCAGACAAACAGGTCTCACTATACCTAAGCATTTTGTAAACATTTCTCAAACACATTTAATTCTTGGGTGTCGTTATTGGATAGAAGTAATGAGGTGTTTTAATCTGTTGGATGTCAAGCTCTATCAATGGTGAAAATAAAGATAAATTCAGGGTATGTGCCCCCTCTCAAGTGGACCTCTCAAGTCCGGTGGACTTTGTGGCATTGGAATGTTGTTGAAAGTTGGATGTGTGATGGTCACACCAAGACTGCCCACGCTTTACAGAGCTTACTGAATAATGCCAACCAGACTGCATAGTGCAGGCCATGAGAGCTCATCTGCTTCCATTTCTGCAGGCTCATCCTGATGTGACAACATTCCAGCAAGACATGTTGCTCGTGTAAGAATGGCTTTATTTCAAGATGAGATTTTGGCAAGCTGTGAAATTCAAACTAAAATTGAATCACATTGAACATTTATATTTCTTATAATAGTATTGCCACATGTTATAAGCCTGCTCTTTTCATAACAGTCCCTATGCTGATCAGACCTGTTGATAAGAGTCACCATAATGAATTGACCTATTGTAATTAAAGGGTAGTGGGACTACAAATCAAGCAATACAGCCATATGGTTGAAGCCGATACCCTGGCTCCTTTCAAAACACAACCTTAAAATAGTTTAGCTGTTTTTCTAAGTAATATGCAGGATTACATTTAGAAGACATTTTGAATTTATTTCCAAATAAAATAACTGAAGTCTGTGAGTAATGTCCTTCAGTCAAACAGAGAATACACACCTGTTGATTTTGTTCTGTGGTGGTAACATTTATACAAAAGTGACCCATAGAGAAATCAGATCATTTTCTAAGACCTCTTTCCTTAACACAGACTAGAATAAATATCCCCTTTGTGCTGCAGACTATTTATGATTCTTTCTTTGCTCAATTTGAGGCAGGCATTGCATTTTAATTTCCCTAAAGTTTAAATTTCCAGTCAGCACCTATTGTATTGGCAGTCACAGTGTTTGATTTAATTTCATGTAAATATTCCACCAGAAAATAATAGCAAAAGAGACTCTTGATTTAAAATAACTGAAGGCATGTTGATGAAAATTGCAAAGCCACTGGCCTGTAGCATCTTGCAGTGTTAGTGGATATTACGTTTTATTTGAAGAATGGAGTACAGAGCCGTGCAGGAGTAAAGCCCACTCCATCAGAAGCAGGAATTAAAACAAAATGGCATTCTATACAAGCGCTGTGGCAGTGCTTTGGGTGACTTTCCTATGTAACTCAAAGTGTTGCCTAGTGTTTATAAAACTTATTGGTTACCACATAGAGCATGTTTATTTAATCCTCCAAAGTAGTTTCCATTACATTGGAAATATTTTTATTGACTATGTTGGATTAGAGAGAACATACAATCTAAACACTGTGGTAATTATGTTTTTCTTAGCTAAGTGCTAATTATAGTATACAGTAAGTACATTAAAAAAAACCTTAATCCTTACAATTAATACAAACTTTTTCATACTTCTTTTAACTTGATCAGT